TTGCTCCCAATGCAGTGTGAGAGGACGAAGTCTTCAGAAACGTCTATTTGATAAATATATACTCTAGTGGAAGCATCGTGTTTGCTTATTAGAGAAATCGAACCACAGAATAGATTGCTCTATCACACGAACTGCCCTTTTTCAATGATGTTCGCGCCGATTTAAAAAAAAGCTAATGTTTTGTTGATCTTACTTTCCTCAGAACCGCTAAAGTGTATGGGGCAGGTAACCGGTGTGATGTTACATACTATGAATAATCGCAATAGTAGCAATATTAACAATAATAGCATGTTATACTCATTCACAGTGTGTGACAACTCTTCGACGGCCTCCCTCTTATTAGTAATTTAGCGACTTTGAGTAAGATATGGCTCATACTTCATACAACAAAGGACAGTTCGTGTTATGGTTTGGTTTTTGTTGCCAAGATATAGTGAGATTAGACAATTGATTTGATACAACTTTCTACAGATTAGTATCCGAAATATCCATAAGCTTCAATTTCTTTTCAAAATTATATTCAAAGTTTTTAATCTTACACTATATTGACTCGAAATAAGGTCACGTAGTCAGGTATCTCACAGTGTTTTTTGAAAAATCTTCCCATCTAGTTTTTGATTTTTCTTCGATTATTTCCTTATAGGAGAGCATTTGCTTATCTTTTTAGTGCACTCTTTTCAGGTTGAAAGTAATTACTGATATTCCAGTAATTTTCATCATGCTTTCACGCGATCCCTTTTCTTCTGAACTCCAGTGCATGAGGTTTGGAAATATTCTTGATATGTGGGACCTTTTACTGTGTTAGTGATCGACATTTGAATGACTAAACCATAACTTGTACGATCAGGGTCAGAACCATGATTAAATATGTTTCTAAGAACAAACTAGCTTCAATCTTTTCAATGCACATAATTCTCGTATTGTTTGTGTGCGGCAAATTTTGTTTTTAATCATACAACGGGCTTTCGCCTTTCACCTCGGTTTGATTATTATAATTTCAGCATGCAGTCATCATTAAATATGAAAGTCGAGATGCCGATGTCCAAGATACTGTTGGCGAAAGTGGAGAAAACAAAATCAAGCAGTTAATCTCTAATGAGTGCTCCCAGCCAAGCAAAAATACTTAAGAAGCTGATGCAGCTGGGCGTTCTTAAGTACTTGGGTAGCTAGATTGGTTGTCGTGGTTGTTGTGTCGCATGTCGTTTCAATTTCATTAATTAAAGTGGATTAAAGGATTATGTTCTTGACGTTAATCAATTTCTGAATATGCGCTATGCATTCGTCTTCAATTTATAGCTTTGAATAATGTGAGTGGAGGCATATCTGACCTCTACAATGACTTGCGGTGGCCTACAATATGTATCAAGTCAGTGCTGGTTTTCCTCCCGCACAGGTCTGGCTCTGGTGCTGCGTCTCATAGGCTCTTCAACTGAACTAGGGTAAGTGATTTGTTGTTTCCATCTGAGAGTGCCACAGGGTCGGTTATACAATAGTGTCGTTACGGTATTGCCTCAAGCTGTTTGATATTTGTTCCAAGACATTATCGTTTTGAGCGTTGACAAAGTTGTGTTAGATGAATGCACGACGAGGATTGACAGTTATTCACTTTTTTCCTGTTAGCAGCCACGATTTTGCTACCACATAATTGCTGCCGTTTCTGTGAATTTGCTTTCTTAAGTTTGAATTTCTGGCTAGCTTGACATGCGATCGTTTTTCGAAAAGACTCTTAGATAACGCTTCAACGGAAGGGAAACATTTGTGTTTCACATGCTCATCTATCGCAAGACAGAGCTGTTTAGATTAGTAGTAATCATTCGATAGAGTAATATTTGAGGATTCCATGCTGTGCTCTGAAGGACCGTTTCTCTGCTTTGCAGCAGAGAGAATAAAACTGATTCACATAAGCGAGCATGTGTTCTTTGGCTGATATGCGGGGTGGGAGATTTTCTCTGCACGTTTATGTGGTTTTCGTGCTCCCAGCGAAGTAATAGTTAAATTGCGCGACCGACATAAATCATTGCTTTATTTTAAAACTTACAGCATCATAAAAGGGTCTCTTCAAAAACGGCCGCGTACCCAGCTAGCTAGAGATTTAGGCTTTCGAATAACTACTAACACTCTTATGAAAATTTCTCGTCCACTGAATGAGGTCGAACATATATTTGTCACCGTCCTACGAAAAAGATCCCAGTTTCCTATAAATATGCAGCACGTGGTCCCACTGATTAACACCAACTCGGAAAAGTTTTATATTAACGAATTTGAATCATTTGCGCCGTAAATACATCACTATGCTAGCACTTGACGGATGTTTCGCAAAGTGATCTTATTCAAAATAACATGAGAAAAATGTAAGCGGCTGTTCTACACAAAACACATAGGAATTAGTTCAACCCCACGTTCCAAGGCCAACTGATTTTCCCCACCTCTCGAAAATGGAAAATTATTGCCAGAGTTTTCTGGAAGAGCAAGAACATTGACTTTATATTTTGAGAAACCATTTTAAGTGATATATAAGTCGAATATTCGATTACCTTAACGATGCTACGAAAAAAATTAAACACGCTGCGCGCCTTCAAGAAAACTGAGTGAAGTATATTACTTTATCCCTTTTTTTGCTTCATCAAAGGCTTCTCCCTATTGTGATTATTTAAGTTGCTGTCTATACAGCATTTTACGGAATGAACGACTGAAAGTCCCTCCAAGACCTAAACCAGCAAACGAAAGTCAGTTCTAGAGAAATTTGTTGAACAACTAACTTTGAAATCTAAAAATCAGATTCTACGTTCTGATGGAATGGAATCACCATTACACAGGTTGTTGATGGTGCATAAAAGCTTGTCAAAATATGTGATACGCAAAAGTGGTGAAGTCGATTTCGTACCCATGCAAAGCTGGGTAGGAACACTTGTTCTTAAAAACACTTACACACAAGGAGTGTATGTTGCTTTCGAAGAGATCTAGCATAATATCGGTTTACACTGGAGTCCTTGATTACAGTGCTCTACAAAATGTACACGATCACCGACCTCAGAGTTAGGTCAGACATGACCCATAGATGACTTCTTGATGAGATCTACGGGCAAACGAACTGCAGTGAAGTAAGAAAAGGCGAGGCCGTCTGTCTGCTATGAGCTCTCTGGAAATCATCCGTAGTTTCTCACAGCATTAAGGCGATTAGCTAGCTTTCCTTGTTTTGCCGCCGGTCTTAACGCCAAAATCCAAAAGAAATTAAATTGCTTTCTCACATTAGAAATCTCTTCTAGCAGAAGCCTGTGAAGTAGCAAAGTTCAGTGAACGAAAACTCAAAAATATTTTCCCTACTTTGGTTTTGAAATCGTAGAACATCGTTGTTAAAAGGATTGACAATAGCACAAATGACGTTTACGACAGACAAGAAAAGCCGAAAATTAAATGATCACGAGAAGTAGATCAAGAAACTCTTAGTCTGATACACCAAAGCGATGAAAAGAAGTGCCAAGATGAGAAAAGCTGTAGATCTGTCTCAAGGCGAAGCTGACAAAAGAGTGCCTGAAATCAGCAGCGAGTGACCATATAAGAGACAGTGATAATGGTGAATTACTAACGAAGATAGTGGGAAGTTCACCTATCCTATTTCTACTCTGACCACTTTTAATGCAGTGTATTGATACATATGTTAATATCTAGGTGTATGGACACGTTGCCGCCTTTATTACTGAGTTCTAAGGAAATGTCTCATCAAGTACCAGACTTGGACTTGCTGAAGGTGGAGAATATGAAGATAGTAATAAATTGCCGCTGTAAAATAAGAGAGATTTTTGAAAACAATAAATTGTAACTGAGTCCAACGGTCAATATGACTCAGAAGATGATCGACCTAATGCAATGGCTAAGCAGAGCGGAGGTGGGCAGTTTGGGGAAGCTTACAATAACACAAATCATTTAGTGAGCTAAGTGACTATCATTAAAAAGACTTCATAGCACTACAGTCACACCATCCTAAGCCACTCTGTAAAAAGTAAGGATTTTGCGAATACCTTTTAGCTATCAAAGACTGTCGATCTGAATCACCTTTGCTATAAGGAATGCGATGGCGTCTAAGCATTAGCCACAGTAAGGCTATGTAACAACTTCATGTACGATTATTATTGAACCAAGATATTCCTTTCTTTTGCGAAATTTGAATGAAAATCGGTTTTGAAAATGTTATCATTACATCTGTTGCATAATACATATCCCATAAAGTACATTTATCATCATTCCTGACTGATAAACAAACACGACACATTGGGAAAATCTGGCGCACGACAATGATAATTGGCTTTTTGTGTAACTCTTCGAACTATTGGCTCAACAAAGAGAAAGGTGGAAGTTGTGAATGAGTGGCGAACTCACAGGAAAAGGATGCTTTCCATAACTTTTAGTTAGGTCAGTTAGGATCAGCTCTAAACCAAACGATTGTAGCTCTATAGGTGATAACTTCAGTCTTTTGAAGCAATGCTGGTGATCCATTCAAATTTTCTGCGGCCTCATCATTGTTAGGAATGTTTTCATCCTCAAACTCCGATGAAGAGGTAAACATTGTGGGTTCATCACCTGAAGGATCACCAAAACAAGGATGTACAACGTTAACAGACCGAAGCCCCGAAACACTAGGGAAATTGAACTGATGTCACGGCAGGTCCAGGAAAACACTGATAGCGAACTTCTCCGTAAGATCAGTCAAACGAGAGGGCTTCGAATAATGACAAAATTGCGATGAGTTCTGCGTACCTCGCGTAAGTGTAGCTTACATAGCGACTCTGATAAGCAACAACGAAGTGAAAATTTATTACTGTGTACTTTACCACCGCAAGTAGCGGTCAGATAAAAAGAATTCTGATTGATTATTGATGATCAGTACCTATCAGCACAAGTGGCTACAATGCCGATAGCGGCTGCACCGCCAAACCGTCGACGGTTGGCTGTTGACAGGTAACGCCTTGTGGTGTAAAAAAAAAGAGTGCTGTGGAAAACGAGCGTCGGTGGCGCAACGGTTAGCTCACGCTTCCAGGAAGAGTGAGAGCGGGGTTGGAATCCCGGCTGACGCAAATGTTTTTGCAGAGCACTCCACATTATTGGGTATATTACAAGATCGTACCACCGCAAGTGGCGGTCAGATAAAAAGAATACTATGTACTTAGGTGACATAATGAACAGAGTGAAAACAGATGTTATTCAGATTCAAAAATTTGAACAAGGAAAGGTCTTGGTTTTGGCAAGCCATCATTCTTGTGCTGTTAAACAAGCGCACGAGAGCAATGAGTTCAAAAGTGTTTAGAATGGTATTCCATTAAGTTTATCTAATATAAAGCAATTAAAAAGTTGTTGATAGATACCGTTAATTTTATGAATTGAGGACAATTAGTCCTACCGGCTATTTTGCCGCGTTTCACTCCTCTTGGTGGAGATGGATTGTTCACGAGAAGAACGCGATCGTTCTGGTAAAAGATGCCGCTTCTCACACTCTCTAAATGACCTGCCGTCTCCGAAAAGCTTCAAAAGTTGTTTTTTTTTAAAGAAATTTATAGATTCACGTACGAAACCTCTTATCGTCCTCTTCTTCATCGCTGTATTCCTCCAAGATAATTCGCCGTCCTTCTTCAGCAAGTATTTCGCTAGTTTGCGTCTTATAGTGCTTGGGCAATTTAGTATTTTTCCTAAAAATACATCAAAATGCGTCACGAACATAAAGACAAGAGTTCAAGATTCTTCAGAGATAAGTAGCAAGTTTTCAGATATGACAAACGGGTTTCATCGTTTAGGAATTGAAGAACTACAAACGATAACATTTTGAAGTCATCGAGGATCCATACTGTTGGAAAATGCTCTCATGCCTGCTTCAGTGTTTGAGTTATTTATAGTAGAAGCAACGCCAGTGCTTCCATCATAATCCGCATTTTTGAAAGGATAAACCATATATTCACGAAAAAGAAATTTTAGCAACCTTCATTGACTATTCCTATGCTACTCTATTCGAATTTATCCACAACTCTGTTTTATTGATTTTGTCTAAACGAATCGTTGCTGTTATAGCTGCTGATAGATAATTAGTCGAACATCAATCCGAGATAATTCTTATTTACAGAATCAAGTATCAAAATATGAATATCTTTCGTTGTATATAGTACACAAAATCATCATAAAGAGTGAATGCTGAAAACTATCAATATTTAGTCAAAAATGGTGTTACATATTGCATACAATACGATTTTATCGATAGTTCCTAATTATTTTTTCGTTATTAGTGTACTTTATAAGTTGTTGAAATCACCACCAAATCATAGAAAAGACTTTATTCTATCGTCTCGTGGGTGCTAGCTTTTTACTATCCGTCTTTTTCTGCACCATGAGCACATTTTAAGGTGGTTATTTTGACACTGAACACGTGGCAGATTGAATCTACATACTCTACGTAGTTCTTTCTAGTTGATTGTCAGCGTAGTGAATACCTGGGTCTTAGCCAGGTTTCATTTCTAGGATGATTTGGATAAACCCAGTTTTCAGATAATTCAATGAGACAACTTTAACTAATTGCAACCTTCCAACAGTACACTGGAGATCCCTGGACATTCATCTGTTTGCGATGCATCTCACCTTCGACTAATATAATTGTGAGTAACTTATTATCTGCGCCGCTAACAGAAATGCGCGGTTGAGTGACATAGACAATTAAGTACAGGAGATCTCACTAATACTGGGGCAGCGGGTACAGCGGATGGTTGGTCGAGAATGTAATGTCGTCAAACAGCTCTGCCTCCTTCAATGACCTAGGGGTAGGTCGTCAAAGCGACATCCTGCGCTACTGTAACAAGCCAGTGGGTTTCTACGAACAGTTCATAAAAAAGTTTGGGAATCGACTATGTGGCGGACGAATAATATAGCTAGGCGAAAAAACGGAGTGAGAAGATATGACGATCGCTGATATGAAGAAATTCATTGGCTTGTGCCTTCAAATGAGTGTAATGCCATTGCTTTAAGTGAAAGATTTCTATAAAAGCAACCAATCTTTTCATAGCCCCAAGTTGGAAACGGGTATCGTGCTGAGAGATCAATTTTTGAGGTAATAAATCACTCGCATTTAGCAAATAATGAGTGGTGCGGTGTGGTGGACACGTTGTACATGATGCGCTCGCTGACAGCAGCCATTAACAGGAATTATAAGGATCAATATAGGCACGGAAGATTTGCATGCATTGACAAGTTGACGGTGCGACTTTATTCAAAAAAAAGAACTAAGATGCGTCGGTACATTACCGGCAAATGGTGCAGAGATGGAACGAAGCTGTTTAAAGTATGTAGTGAAAAAAGGTATACCTGAGAGAGAGACGATGATTTACCCAGGTGCGGGCACGAATTCTTGACCAACCGGGTGTTTTGCAGACGATGAACTAATAGTGATGAGCTAATAAACGATCTACTAGATGAGCAACATCTCTTGGCAGACAATTGGCATATTAGTATTTCCTTAGCCAAAACTTTATTGCTAAGGGCTAATTACGTTACTGAAATCTGCAAAAAGAGAGCAGTGGCTTGACAAAGGAGCTCGTTCAAGAGAATTTGCCCTTGGATGAGTGGAAGGAGACGTAGAACCAGATTGATGAAATGATGCATGGGTGCATGGATAAGGAAGTAATCAGAAAGGTTTCGACAGGGCATGGCTTCTTCATTAATCCACAGACGAGAGCCGGCATAACGCAGACATATGTACGGTCAACGCTCGGGGATGCACTGCAAGTGCGTCCACAAAATCAAACTCAAACAATTCAAGATGAACACGTACGTTAACTACTTAGAATTCAATGCTTCTCATCGGCCGACATTCAATCGCGTTTTAGTAAGGCTATCAACCTCATCAGACAATGTAGACGTTGTAAAGTTGATAACAATGATCGCAAAAGTTTGATAACGTACTTCCGTTCAGAAAAGTGAAAATTTTCACTGTAGCCAATGCAAGACGCATGTTTGCCAAGAACGATTTTATCTTTCTTACCAAAATATACCTCTAAACAAGTCAGATATCCACGCACAAATCTTATATTTTAGATGTTTCTTCTTTGATATTCCATTAAGCCGGATTTCTATTGCGGCGCACACCGTTCGTAGCCGTCCTAATGGGGAGCCCAGCTGAGAGTCAAAATGACCCTCACCGTTCGCAAAGAGGTACACCGCTTCATGATAAGCAACAAATAGCTTTATTGGGGCAAGAGTCACGTATGTGAGGAATTGGGGATTTTTGATGCAAGAACTAGTTAATGTAATAACTTTTCACAGGTATTAGAGGCTGTTTAAGGGGCCGCAGACATACGTTGTTGGTTCAGCTAAGCCAGTACAAATGAGGAAACGCTGCCGAATTGTAAGCCTTGGTGGTGGTAACGCATTTGGCTCGGTCTCGTCAACATCGCTGTGATCATTTTCTCCTAGAGATCTGAAATTTTGAGCTTCAGAAGAAAATAATTTGATAACAGTAGTCAATTACCTAGATAGTGTTTATATTAGCGCTAATTTGGGACATAAAGTATGTAGGTGGAATGATAGGACAAAACAACAAAATGTCTTGCCCAAGTGAAGGCACAAATCCTCGACTTGCAGACGTTGTAGAGCGCGGAATACTAGCAACTGATTTACGGTGTGAATTTTCGTCCTGAAATTTAGTTTGTTTTTACAGAGCTATCACACAGATGTATAGAAGAGCAGCATATAATTCTCCATTGATCTTGCTTTCTTTAAAACCTTCAACAGTCACTTCTATTTTTCCTCTATGAAAAATTCTGATCAAAAAGAAAACTCACTGAAGAATATGGAAGATGAACTTGCTTCGATTCTTTAGTCCGTTTTCTAGATATGAAAAATGCCGTTTCTTCTTACCGCCAACCATTTCGAAGATGTTTCTCTTCTTTTCAGTACGCTCCTCAAAATTGTGAATACATTTTACGGTAGAAAACTTCAAAAAAAAATGCTCACATGCATCACTTGTGTGGACAGATCATTATTCGCTTCTGGTTATCCACGCACAAGTGCAAGTAGAAAATAAATAACAAGGCTAAAAAGAGAACTTTATTGACTAACTATTGATTGTGAATGGTATCGATTTCATTCTTTCATAAAATATTAGCAAGACTATATATCATTGCGTCAGTTTATTTCTCCAACAAAACATTTGTCAAAACGTTAGGAGAGTTGTGACGCTGCTTGTAATTTTGATAATGCTCTCGCATTTAGAGTAGTTGTCAAAAAAACTTCACGCGTTTTTTCATACATTAGGGATTATTTCGATTGTTCATATTTGTCGACATGTCTATGATTTCAAGAGCAGCTAAGGAAGAATGAGAATCATAGAAAATCTAAGCCGGTTGAGAAGGACTTCCTTTCATTCCGATAAGGTATATACAATCTGAGTGGAATATCCGTTGAATTTTAAATGTATTTGGAATCGATACTTGTCAGCAAGTAGAAAACAAATCCAAATTTCAAATTCCTACTATGAAAGGGCAATACGCATAAAAACCAACAACTTATTGTGGATGATGCTCTTGCTAAAGGAATCGCGCTTGTTAAACTGCTTTTATGTTCTGAATACGAGGTCTTACGATAGAGAAGATTTGACATTTATAGCAAACATGTGCAGATCCTATCGGATTCCATATTGTCTAATGAAGTTTGCTATGAATTGGCATTCTGGTTCGAATTTGAAGGCGATCATTGTAACAATTCCTTAGGAATCATCTATGAAATCAAATCTTTAAGAATGTATTGAGAATTAGTTTATAGGAAACAAAGCTAAAGTCAGTCACGGTCTTTTTAAAAATGTTTTCTGCTAAAGTATTCTTTGAGTTAAGGAGAGTTTTGCATAAACTCAATGAAATTTTTCGGGACATTTAACATCGTTACAAATACGAACAGCAATAGAAGCAACATTGGTATGACTATTACAGGTGAAATTATATATTTGAGAGCATCCACTAACGATGCGTTAAGATTTTCATAAAGTACTTCCGTGATGACACTGTAGAAGTGTGGTTGATCACTGATATAACGAACGAAGCGATTT